CACATGCGGAAGAGACTATTTGATCGGTTTTGTACAAAACTGGTTTGTTTTGTATAGCCTCATAAACTTTACTTGACAGTACTGATAGTGTTGCTCCTGTGTCAACAAGCAAATTAGCTTCAATCCCCTGGATGGTAGCTTTCACGTACATTCCAGCCTCAGGGTCATTCTGGTTTACACCAACTTGAGCTTTGTAAGATGTGATGCATTTGAATGTGTTTTGTACAGGATGTTTCTTTTTACTATATGAATATTTCTTTTGTGCTGGTGCGTTTTGTTGAGTTCTATAACCTTGTGGACAGTCATATCTGAAATGATTTGGAGATCCATACAAATAGCAGCGTCTGTTGCTGGTAGCTCCAAATTTCTTTTTGTATACAACATCCTGTGAATTCTTTGCTTTCATGTCATTAACTTCCTTACGAAGTTTTCTTATTTCGTCCTTCAGCTCTACCAATATACTTGTGCTGATCGGATCTTATATGGCTTTCTTGTTTCCCTCAGTTTTCTCTGACTGCATTGGTCGCAAGTGGGTTTGTTTTTCTAACATTTTACGATCAGATTTAACAAATGCTTCCAATTCGACAGCATGTCGAATAGCATCATTGAGGTTTAATGGCCTTGCCTGTTTAATTCTCAATCTCATGTCAGAATCTAGGACAGCATCAATAAACTGTTCTTTTGCCAGCGTTTCTTGTACATCTCTTGGCGCCGTTGGGTATGCCAAGCTTGTAAGTCTTCTTATGGATTGTCCCAGTTCTGGTAAAGTTTCCGTTGCTCGTTGTCGGCGTTCTCGCAGCTGGGTCCTATACAAGTCATTTTGATTTGAAGGTGCAAATCTCTCCTCTAATGCATTCACAAGTAAGACATAGTCATGCTTGTGTGTGTTAGGCAAATTCCCCAGTACACCCTGAGCCTGTCCTCTTAAGGAAACTGCTAAATATAAACCTTTCTCTTGTTCCGTCCACTTGTTCAACATGGCGCATGCATCAAAATGGGAACGATAATCTAACCAGGATCCAGTACCATCAAATGTTGCAGGTTTTATATGGGTCTGTGGTTTCTTCTCCGTTGCCGTTATGATATCGGTCTCTGTATCTTGTCTACTAAATCGACGATCCTTTCGGCGATTAGTAATGTTTGACTCTGTTGCACTTCCAGAGACTGGTGTTGACATTAAATAACCAGGTCTTTTGCCCTCATCGGAAGGAACACTACTTGTACCAAACAACATTTCATTTTCCCAAGAAACCTTTCCTAAGGGATGCTTTTTCTGTTTAACATCACCGTGAAAGTCTATATCAGAAAATCTCCCTGATGCAAAACCTGAATCTTTTGATTTCGTATCTGATCGAACTTCTGGGGTACTTGTTTTATTAGCACTTGTATCCTTGGCTAAACTTACATTGTGAATGCTTAAACTGTCATTTTTCAACTCTTGTAACTTTTGCTCTATGAATGTTATTTCTTTGTCAATGTCGGTAATGTCCTTGTCAGCCATGTTTTACAATATGCCCACAAAATGAAAACAAATAATAGATCAACAAATGATACAAAATATATAAACGTAATATTCCTAAAACCGCTGCCACCAAATTTGTAACGTTTTTACAAAGTACAAATGATTAATAATTATTTAATAGGTCCGCTTAGGATTCCTTCCTAAGTATCACGTTTATGATATGAATCAAACAAACTTCAACAACAATGGCACTATAACAAGAAACTGACTGAAATTCACTATGTGTATATACTTTTTCCTCGGTCCTATCTGGATAAATGATTAGCAAACAAATATGAGCTTAACGACAACGAATTATAAGAAAAAAATCAACCACAATTGAATCACTAACGATCAAGCAAATAATCAAATATGAAGTTATAACACTGTAGTTGCAGACTGAGTGGTTTAACCAACAATCCTGTTGTTTCCCGACACAGTCTGCAACTACCTAAAAAACACACCCTAAAAGTCACTGAGACACCTTTATTAAAAGTCACCAAGACACTATTTTAAGTCACCAAGACACTATATCATAAGTCACCAAGACACTATATTAAATAAGTCACCAAGACACTATAGTCACTGAGACACACTATTAAGGAACTAGGTTCCTGAGCTGAGTGGTTTAACTAACAATTCTGTTGTTTCCCGACACAGCGCAAGAACCTAGTCCAAGAGGTGTTACTCAAACAATGAGTAACGACCAAGTAACCAATTGCTTCATGGGTGTCTGTATTTATACTCTTTCTAATTCCTAATGATTGGTTGATAATTCTGAAACTCTGATTGGCTGTAATATCAAGCGCTGATTGGTCAAATATAAAATGATTCGATTGGACTATTTCAAAGGCATTTCAATCCACTATGATTATTCTATTTCATTACACTTTCTTTGCAATATTTTAACAATATACCCCTGTCTAACATGCATCTTAAATCTGATATAAATATGTAAATAAGATTTATCTATCTAGAGTATTCAGGTTGATTATTCTATCAGAAAAGCACCTTGTCGACAGCTTCTCATCTTCGGCGATCGCTAGCGAAGATGTCAGACAGTCATGTAGGAAAACTGTACGTTAAATGGGGCTAGAGACGTATAATAGATATGTTTTTTTAAGAAACCAGTTCTTAATATTTTCATTTATATATATTAAAATCAGTGGATTGCGAGATTCAGATATTGTTTAAATTAAATTATAAATGAAAACGTTCCCTTCTCTGTTCTAGCAAAAATGCCATAAGGCCCTTTTGTCATGGGCGCAATCATATATATATATATATATATATATATATATATATATATATATATATATATATATATATATATATATATATATATATATATATTGGATTCCGAAACTTCATAAAAATCCTTACAAACAAAGATACATTGCGGGTTCCGGTAAATGTTAAACCAAGCCTCTTTCGTTACTCCTATCTAAGATATTGACAGTAGTGAAAAAATACTTCAAGATTACTGTGCAACAATGTATTCAAGAAGCGGTGTGAATCAGATGTTGATAAATTCCAAAGAACTTTCGAAAAATTTGAGATTGTAAGATTTAACCAAAATCAACAGATTAAAAACTTACTACTTTTCAACTTTATGCACAACCATTTCCCACGATAAATTTGAGTCCAGGCTTTTTGATATCATTGACAGCTGCTCACGGCGGTTATTACTGGTCAGCAGGGGATGCTCACTCCTCCATGGCACCTGATTCCACCTCTGATGTTTCGGGTGTACCTCTTTGCTCTGCTCCTAATTTGTATTGTTTTATGGGCTTTGAGATGGAATACTGTTTGTTATCTTTGTATCCTTCCAGATAAATGGATTTCATCTGCTACAATATATTTTACACTGTATTTGTGTTTTAGATTTGATATTCCCATTAAATTTATGAGTAACTTAAGAACTATACTGTTGAAAACATTAATTGTCTTTAGAGAATAACCTGATCATATACGTACTAGTGTATGAGAAAACCAATCATATATGATTTTCATACAGTTTTCATTCTAAACAGATACCAAATATATAGTCCTCCAAATATTCCCTGTTGTTGTTATTGATCTTATAGATTTTCTAGCAATGTAAAAATACGCATTTATATCCACAACTTTTCCACTAATAAAAGTAACTTTCACAATATGAAAACCTTTCCGTAGCTTGTTCTTGTTATTTGAAAACTAGTGAAGATACGAGAACTTGAATTGAGTGAAAATGTCATTTATTGACCAAATTAATGACGAAAGTGAACAAAACACATAAATATACAATATTACATACAATCATGTAAATTATAGCTGGGATAAGGCCAACTAATGATAAGTTTCAACTTAGATATGATATATTGCGACTTAGTGCTTATCCCAGCTATTGTTATATAATCATAATGATTACAAAGTTTGTGTAACAAGAAGGTGGCGTAAACAAAGAGGCCACACGGCATGGTAAATGCCTGATGTTATACAATGAGGAATAAATTCCATACAACAAAAAATCAAATATTGGTATTACATGGGAGGAGGATGGGGAGGTATAGCGGTAAATTGATTCCGACCTCATGTTTGTATGAAATCAAATTAATTGAGCACTCGATCCCGATCAAACCGAACCCGATCCAAACATGAGTTCGATCCCGATCCAGTCGACCCCACTCTTTTTACATAAAAAATCAATAACAACTGCAATTTTAATCTAAGTTTGTCAAAAACAATGTAAAAAAGATTGTATATAAATCATTTTATGAGACATAAAATTGTATGCATGCTGATTTTATGTACTTTTAACATTAAGGGGGCCGACTATGATTTCCATTGCGCAATATTTCATAGTAAAATTAAGCGTATTTACTGCTTTAATGCAACATTTTTTCACTTAATTATTAAAATTAAACAAAATTAAGAAATTATAAGTAGGCTGGTTGACGTCGTTGCAGTGTGTTTTTGACGTTATGATAATCTGTAGCTCTTAAAGAAAGGGGTAAAAAATTATTATTAAAGAAAAAGTAATAAACATACACTCTTGAAATTTAAAACATAGAAATTTGAGAATATCTCCGTGTGAATCTATTGTGTACGTCATATTTTGTAAATACTCAGTCTATAAAAATAATAAAATTTGCTTATTTTTTTTGCATTTTGAGATGCCCCCTCTGGTAACAAGACGGTATAATTTTGTGTTTCTTACATATATTGTATAATATAGTATTACTTATCAAATATTATACTTTGAACAAAATGTCTATTGTAGTATTTGAATAATTTGCTTTAAAGTGCTAAAAATTGGCACTGATATTCCTATATAATCCTATAGTAAATGTACCTGTATTTTGAGACGGTCCCTCAAAAATACCTGGACGGTAGATTTCCCCCATACCTTGCATGTACATTGAAGTTAATGTAACTTATATATATATGGTATAAAAATGAATACTTTCAATATTGTAGTTTTCACACAATAAAAATATAATCGGCCCCCTTAAAACGTACAATATATAGTCTGTCACATGCAATTTTTTCCATTCATTCCTAAAAAAAATCCATGAAAAATATTTATTCTGCCTTTTTCTGCTCATAAGTCCTGTAATTAGTGCTTCTTTTTTATTCTGAGGCATACATTTTGAAGCACATTTTTTATTTTGTAAATTTTTTCTTTGAAGACTGTGATGATAATAAAAGGGATTGAAAAAATCACAAGAAACATCAACCCCAAAGACTTCCAAAGCATCAACTTAAAGGACTGCGTTCCTTCAACTCTGCAATTAGAAAAATACAATGTAGCAATACTTTAGAATTACAAAAAATGCACAAATGTTTTTGAAATAACTTTACATATCAGCAAACGAAAGAATACCCCAATGATGTATTTTTAAAATTTCAAGATGCAATCGACTTGTAAAAAAATAAATTGAATGCTGAAAAATGCATTATTTGTATGAAATATGTTGATCTTTTCTGTAGGAGTGAGTCATTGGTTGGCAATCAAATATATACTCAACCAAAAAAGAAACGCATAATCAGAATAATATGAAAATCTAAGTTTTCAGTTCAAACCTTCTTTTATTTAAGCGATTTTTGTGATAAAAATCAAACATGTCCTTTGTTGCAAATTGAAAAGTCAAATTGATGTCATTTTCATCGCCCCCAAATTCAAGGGGAATAACAATATGTACTGTGCGACGTCTCAATGCTAGTGGGTTTCCAATGTACGGATATCTACGAATACTATGATCTCATTTCAGTCTCTTGCGAACAATTTATGCACTTTTACGCTGATTTTTTCATCCAGCAATTGTAGCAGAAGTTTTTACAACAGGTTCTGAATCGCATGAAGTGCTGAAAGGGGGTCTGACGGTCTGCCTGGATTTGGTCACCTGGAGATGGCCAGATAGTGGTCTTCAGATATTAGTTTAACGGTTGCAAAGCCCATTAATTTATTCCAAATACAGTTGCAACTTCCTGTTGCGTAGCTCCGTTTAGTATCATCTTAGCCTGGTTGTGTTCATCTTTGTTTCGGCTTGGCATTGCAGTATCAACACTGCAATCAAATCTTGAATATGGGTTTAATAGGAGTATCAAAATTTTCTCTAAATCCCAAATATCAACGAAAAATAAACATCCGATTTAGAAGAAATCATGAAAAACACTACTTTCATAAACATGTTTAATCAAGGGACATAATTAAACACTTGGGTTTTAAAACCCCATGCTGTCTTTCAAATAGGTCACAGGTATCCAATGAAATAAAACATAGTTGTTTCATGTACATTTTAAAAATTTCTTTGAAGACTAAAACAATATGCGTTTCTTTTTTTGTTGAGTATATATACACATCTCAATGCATTTAAATGCACCAAGCATCTGAGCTTGATTTCCTTTTGTTAATTTACTTCTTGTATGTTGTTTTACGTCCCATATAAGAATATTTCAATCATATATGGACATCACAAGTGAAGGTCTTACGATTTTGACATTTACTAAGCACTTATACTGCAATTGAGCAGTGGGGGATCTCACTATCTGAGGGATAGTACCAACGTCTACAGTGACACAGATCACAATTTATTTGACGTTCTCATTTGACCAATTTTCACTTCAAAGTGCCAATGAAACGTTGCTACCCTTTGTTATGTCTTAGGCCCCTCGCGGTCGAGATTCGAACTCACGACCTTCCAAACACGTTGCAAGCGCTCTGGCCTTTATTTCTATATAAAATGTTAAACGAGATCAAGTAAAACTGAATTTGTTCAAATTAAAAAGACCCAAATCACAATAAATTTTTACAATTTTTGGGAACTAGGAAATCCTCTCGCTTTTATATTTATATCATTTCAGAAACATTACATGTTAAACTTTTCGATATTGCAAGCAGATAAATGAAATTCCTTAAACACTTACGATTTCTCCCTTATTTCTTTTCTTAGTAATAAAGAAAATGTTGGTATTTGTGTTGCTGAAATTGGATTCATAATTTGTTTATCAGAGTCTTCATCATCGGACAATATTTCTTCTACCAGTATAGTTGTTGTGATTCCATAGCATTTCTGATCTAAGAACAAATTTTGAATCATAAACTATCATCAACGATTTAAAAAATGTTGTACTCCTTTTTCTCCATTGTATTTAATTATTTCAACACAAATTAAGTGATAAATAAAATAAAATTATAGTTGAGTCGCTGTATTTAACCGTGCAGTGTACTGTCTAATTTCCTGTAAATATGTTTGTGCATCGCTCACATTTGTAAATATCTGTTGAATTATAAACCTTTGGACACGGAACATGAAACTTCGTACAATCAATTAGAAAATTTCCCTGTATGACGTCACCGGCTGTGTTGTATTCTGGACAGCAACCTTGAAGTATATTTAAAAAAGGTTCATATAAATAAATACATTACGGTATTCATTATCAATGAAATTATTTGGTTCGTAAAAATATGAGAGATGAATTTACATTTACACTATAAAAATCCTCTATTTAAGAAAGTAACTTTATTTTACTGAGGCCATTTATAAATATATATTGAATATCAATTCATAGAAAAGATAAGAATTGAGCAGATAAATTTTTGCAAAGTATATGATGAATGAAAAAATAATAAAGAGATAAGTATTATTTTTTGTTATAGTTTGTATATTCTCTTTAACATATTTTCTTATTCTTATTTATAGAAATTTTTGGAATTTATAGGATTTCAAATGGTTTGTGGTCGAATAAACTGAGTATATATTAATATTTATGAAACAATTTGTTTACTTGATTTTTTTCATATCTGAGCCTTGGCAAGGGATAGAAAACAGACAACATGTTGCATAAAAACCTGAAGATCTATTTATAACATATTCATCGTTTGTTTTACCTAGTACACATTCTTTTATATCAAAATTTTAAAAAGGAATACAACTCGTATGTTGATGTAGATAAGGCACTTGTTATCACATATTATGCCTCGTACTTTGTATTTCAACACAGTTATGTTGCATCTTGCATACTGTATGATGTCAGATACTAGCATTTAGTAAATGAATAAGCAAATTTAAGATTAAATTATACTCTCTTGTAAGATTGGTGAATAGCATGTTATAATAATTTTCAGGCATGTACATATAATTTATCTTTCATGTTGACATATGTTTTCTTGCACAAGATACATATTGACGCTGATTATTAAGAATTAATACCGATTATGACAACTGGTGGCGCACAGACCTCGTACATTTTATCTAACCACTCATCCTTTAGACAGTGATAAGCGTATTTTCTTGTACAATTCCTTGACAATGATTCACAGTTCTTCTTCTCTGATGCTCTTTTCCATTCTTCTTTATAAAAAGGACACTTGGCAACAGGTTTTGCAAACGTCCGAGGCTCTGGGCATCTGTTTATTGTCTGAAAGTATAACTGTCCATTTATTCTAGTATCAGTTAAACAATCAGTAAAGCAATATAGGCTACTAGTGTATTTTTTCAAGTAAAAATGTACAAAATATGCGACACGCAAGTAAAGCAACGATTGGATTCAGTTTTATATATTTATGAGTAGATTTTGTTCTGTTCAATTTTTTCTCTGACTTTCTGTTTGTCTGTTTGTCCGCAAAATCTTAACTTTAACCTTGCCTATAACTCTTGACTTGGTTAGACTATGACTTTCTTATTTCATATGTGTATGTCTTGTGGCAAGACCTTGCCTTGGGTACCATCAGATTGACCTCCTGACCTTGACCTGAGAGACTGACTCTCTTTTACACCTAATTTCCGAACTTTTACTTTGGTCATAGCTTTTGAAAAGTGGGTACTAGGACTTTCGTACTTCACAATGCATTTTTTGTGACAAGTACTTTCACTGAATACCAACAACGTTGTACTTTTTTACCTTGAATTGGAGTTTGATCTACTTTGAAACACTTTAATCTTGGCAATAACTTTTGAACAATTGGTGCTACAGCTTTCATACATCCCAAATATATTTCTGATGACAATACCTTTTATTGAATACCAACTAATTTGACCCATTGTTTTCGATCTTGGAGTTTGGCCATGAAACTTGAACAGGTGGTGCTAGGGGTTTTTATTTCACATTTGTATTTCTTGTGATGAGGAAGTATTTCTTGGGTATCAACATTTTAATTTCTTTTTGAAAAAAAAAACCTTTGCTATGTGGCCACACGGAGGCATCAGTGTTTTACAAATACATATTTTTTGCCCGAAACACATAGAGTTCTCAAAATACATGCAACATAACCTTATATAAAAGGAACACGATCGTATCATGGTATTAATTTATAGCTCATCTCGAACAATGTCGAGATGAGCTAATGCTACACAACCGGCGTTGGCGTCGGCGTCCTAGGTTAAAGTTTTCGGAGCAAGTCATTCCCAAGTAACCATAAGTCATACATTGGATAGATTACATGATCAGTACGTACTAGTTCCTGCCGACAAAGCAGGTAACAACATTGTCTTCGTTCGTAAGGTTCATTATATAAATTGCATTCTAGAAGAACTTGGATTTAATTCTACAAATGATAGTCCCACTTATACTCATACTTCCCTTTCTAAGAAAGAAATTCTTCAAAAGCACGTGTCAGTTTTGAATACTTTTAATATTCCACAGAGCCAAAATGAAATTGAACTACCCTATATATATTGGATTCCGAAATTTCATAGGAATCCTGACAAACAAAGATACATTGCAGGTTCCTGTAAATGTTCTACCAACTAATGCCTCTTTCGTTACTCTTCACTAAGATATTGACAGTAGTGAAGGAAAAACTTCAAGAATAATGCGCACCTATATATTCAAGAAGTGACGTGAATCATATGTGGATACTTAAATATTCTAAAGAACTCTTGGACAATTTGAAATCACAAGACTTTACAAAAATCACCAGCTCAAAAATCTACGACTTTTCAACTTTATACATAGCAAGTCCCCACGACAAATTAAAATCTTTTTGTAAATCGTTTTTTAAAAAGGCTTTTTGATATCATTGACAGCTGCTTCTTTAATAAAAATGGAACTCGTAATTTTACTTACCTCGTCACTGGTCATTTGCACAATTATTTTGCTAAAACAGATTCTGATTGCTCACATAAATACTCTGAAGTTGACATCAAGAAGATGCTTGAGTTTCCGATTGACAATATCTATGTGGTTTTTGGAGACCAGGTATTCCAACAATCTATCGGAATTGCCATGGGTACAAATTGCGCCCCATTATTAGCAGACTATTTTTATATTCATATATATATATATGAAGCAGAATTTATTAAAAATCTTATGCATGAAAAGAAAAAAAACACTTGCGGTGGCCTTCAACTCGACATTTAGATATATCGACAACGTATTGTCAATAAAAAATAGTAATTTCCATTCTGACGTCGATACGATATAGCCTGGTGAGCTTGAGATAAAAGATACCACTGAGTCTGACACTTATGTTTCATACTTGGATATTTTACTTGAAAAAGACGCTAATGGTAATCTAACAACCAAACTATATGATAAATGTGATGACTTTAACCTTTCTATCGTCAACTTCCCTTACTTATGCAGCAATCTATATATACCTTCATCATCTACATACGGAATATATATATCTCATTTGATTCGATACGCAAGAGCATGCTCTACGCATGAACAATTTCTGAAACTAGGTAAATAATTGACAAGCATGTTAATGAAACAAAAATATCCGCAGTTACGTTTTGAGTCATTATTTCGTAAGTTCTATGGTCGATACAATGACATTGTCAGCAAAAACAATTTATCATTGAGTCAAATGCTGACTGACGTTTTTCATACCAATTGTTAGTCCATTATTTATACACTGAATTGACGACGGATTTTTCCCGTTATTTCCTGATCATGACAAGGGGCACACGGCGGGTGTGACCGGTCGGCAGGGGATGCTCACTCCTCCATGGCACCTGATCCCACCTCTGATGTTTCGGGGATCCGTGTTTGCTCTGCTCTTAATTTGTATTGTTTTATGGACTTTGAGATTGAATACTATTTGTTATCTCCATATCCTTCTCATACCCGGACACATCTAGGGATGAACGTAAACACTACCAGACTTCATTCGGATGCTGGATGCGACCTAAATTTTCCACATTAAAGGTTTTGAAGCAGATCCATTCCCAAGTAATTATGAGCCCTACTTGAACTAAGTTGAATGGATGATGCATCTAGGGATGGGCAGTACTAGACTTGCTTTATATGCTAGATCTGACTTACACTTTACAGTTGAGCGACCAGGTTAACGTTTTGGAGCAGGTCAATTTCAAAGTAACTATAAGCCCTACCCATACCAAACTTGTAGGGATGATGTATCTGGGGATGGGCACTACTAGACTCGCTTCGGATGCTGGATTTGGCCTTTATTTTCAGATCAGTAACCAATGTAATGTTTTTGAGTAGCCCTTTCATTTTAGGCCTATTATGATTTAACTAGCATGGATGGTGCATCAAAGGATGGATAATTGAGACTTGTTTCGAAAGCTGGATCCGATCTACTTTTTCGAAAACTTTAAGACTTAGGTAAACAGAACAATCATGGATATTGTTTTCAGAATAAATACATGAACCAGCTATTAAGAAATCATTACGTGAGATTTGCATTACCTAAACATCTAAAATTGATAACATTTGCAGAGGTAAGCTTCGTAATCTTTGAAAGTTTTGTAAAGCATTTGTAATTGGTGGGCATTTCGCTAGGTCTACATGTATTCCCGAGTATACAAGTTTGATGTGCATTTCTTTATACACAATTGTAAACGCTGATAATCCACGCGTATTATTGAGTATAAACAGCCTTGAAGGACCATAATTACATGTAATAGTTTGAAGTTTAGAAGAAAATAATAGGTAAATTGACTTAAACCACAAGTCTGTGAAAAAATGTAAAGATGTAGTTTACACGCATGTTTCTGTCTTTCTGTCAAAAAACGACACTGCATGTAGTTTAGGGTCTAAAAAGCATAGACAATGCAGTATTCTTTAGAATTAAAATGTGTCGGTACTATTAAGGTAGTATTGTTCTCTGGTTTCTGAGTAGATGGGATATTCAAAGTATATATTTGCTTATATGTCTTCTCAATAACCACGGGGTCAGAAAAGCTTATAATTTTAGAAGCATTCTGGAATAGTGTAGATTTTAAATTGTTCAAATCTTGACCCCCGGAGGTAGGGAGTAGCAACAAGGGCGAATCAAAGTTTGAAATATACAGAAAAATCTTTAAGAGTCTTTTTTCTCAATAACGACTGGGACAGAAAAGCTTATACTTGCTTGGGAGCATTCTGGGATAGTGTTGATCTTAAATTGTGAAAATCATGCCCCCCTGGGTTAGGCTGGGGCCACCATGAGAAATCAAAGTTTTATATTGAAATATATACATATGTAGTGAACATCTTTAAATTTTTTCTGAAGAACAACCGGGCCAGATATGTTGGAATTTATATGGATCGATATATTAGAAATATAATATTATTATCATAAAAGATATCAACTACAGAAATGTGACTCAAAGCATCTGGGGATAGTATAGATTCTAAATTGTTCAAATCATGACCCCCGCGGTAAGGGAGGGACACAATACTTATTACAAAGAAGGAAATCTGGTGCAGAAGAGTTGATACTCAGATGAGCCTCTTGTTTTTTTTTTTCAAAGTATATAAGACCCGGCATTTAAAACGACTGGATATGGAAAAAATGAACATTCCTTTCTCTGTATTTCTTCTACTTACGCTGCATGATATATGTTGGGAAAAGATGATCAGCAAAACACAATAAATTCCTGCATGTTGACTCTTATCCATACCATATTTTCCTCTGCAACCACGAAAAATTAATCAAATTAAATTGAAATTTTACATTTACACAATGAATGGAATATTCTATGGTTCCCCATCGGCAGGGCACTATTTCCTTTGGCGGATTTGCATCCTCGGGAAATAGTTTCCTCCCTTGCGGAGGCATAAATTTGCTTTTTCCCTCGAACCCATTTCATAACAACATACTTACATGTATAAATACCCAGTATTCATGAGGGAGTATTCCCGCAGGGAGTTGTCCTCAGATAATCTAGTATGATAGTTTCTTCAAGGGGAAAAAGACAGTTTTGTGGTATTTATGTTATTTAGAGTAATAACAGTAGGGGTATAATAAAACAATGTAGCATATTATACCAATAAATATTATTGCTTTTCCAGCCTGTAGGAAGCAAATTCGGTTTGGGGGCACAGCCAAATATTTTCAGGTGCAAGGGGAGCACTACATGTATCAATTACCAAAATCCCTTGAAAGTTCATCAGACGATTTTATTGAGGGGGCACAGACATACAGTAAACATTTTTTCTATAGTGTTCAATATAATGGCAAAATTATCAGGGGAGGAGTACAAGTTTCCCGGTTCCTACGGCCATGCCTTTATTTCTGAAGAAAACCATTGCTGTTAATTAGCTAGGAAACGCCGCTTCGCCCTCTTCTTTTTGGGTGAATTTAAAACGGGACGAATATAAATGACACAGAATAATTTCTTAAACAGAACTACGACTGGGCGAATTTAAAACCGGGCAAAATTGTTTGCAAGAAAAAAAACCACAATGCAAAAAACCGGGTATACAGTAGTTGTCTTGATTAGCAAATGTTTCACCAATGAATAGAAAATGATGAACATTTTTAGAAAAAGAACAATATTAAACATACTTAATATTGCTTAAAATATGATTATTTATACAGATATACATGTGTAATTATAAACAAAAAAATGTGTTTCTTTTGTTGTTATTACGGGAATTAATGTTGCAGTTATGGTTGAAAAAATTACATAATCCGTGTAACGTATTTTTGCCCTGAAAACTGCAACATTAATTACTTAACTAACAACATGAACAAGCAAAGAAAGTTTATTTAGGTTAAATATACCTACCAGTGGATGAACAAAGTTTGTGATTTAAAAACATAATATAAGGTTTTAAAACTTGTGGTAAAGTGGTTAAAGTCCAAATCGATTATGTAGAAAGAGAGTATATAGTAAATGACGAAATTGACCCGTATAATCAGATATGGGAATAAACAACAACAGTAATAGATAAAGATATCTGTAATTTACAAACATAAATGTACATATATGGAACGCCGTCACTGCCTTATAGCAGAACTCTACATTTGAATTGTGTCAACTTTCCATTCCATTATGTCAACACTTTGTGACGTTTACTTACAGTACCATTGCATTGAATCAACTTTCCATCACATTATGTCAACTCTTTATGATATTTACACACGCTACTATTGCGTTATGTCAACTTTCCATTCCATTATGTCAACACTTTGTGACATTTACTTACAGTTCTATTGCATTGAGTCAACTTTCCATTACATTATGTCAACTCTTTATGGCATTTACACACGCTACTATTGCAATGAGTTAAATTTCCATTACATTATGTTAACTCTTTATGAATTAACCCTCACCACTATTGCAATGTGTTTATCTTCCATTACATTATACCAACGCTTTATGACATTTACACACACACTACTATTGCATTGTGTCAACCTTCCATTACATTATGTTAACTCTTTATGACATTTACACACTCTACTATTGCGTTCTGTCAACTTTCCATTACATTTATTAAGTCTTTATGGCACTAACTCGTAGTTCAATTGCATTGCGCCAATCTTCAATTGCATTATATCAGCCTTTTATGACATTAAGTCAAAACAATTTTACGTGGTGTAACGATGTTTTTATATAATTTCAATTCATGATTACATTTTGTGCACTCTCTACTATTTGGTCTAAATAGTTCATTACATTATGTAAATATATCTTCGACTCGATGTCAGAATATCATTACATGATGTGAAAAAAATTGTCACATGTGGCCAATTTTCTACTATATTGTGTCATCAATATGCTACATGACGACGGGAATCTATTATATGATGTCGATTTTCCCTTACTTTTTGACAAATCATTATTATGTTATGCCACTGTATCTTTACAGTGTGTCTAAAATGCTTAGCCTATTGTCAGTATATCTTAGAATATTTTAACGCTTTATTGTATGACGTAAGGTTAAGGTTATGCCTAAAAGTTCGTTTTGTGTTTTCAACATTACATGCACATGTGCTAAAGATGCAAATAATTTAAATTAAACATATCAAATATTAAATTATATACTCAAGACTTAATCAATTCTTAATTAAATATCAGGTTAAAATTTATAAATAGGATCATGTTCCCGTGGAATCTTTATTGACGATTGTTTTTTAACGTCGAAATTCAATGGCCGTTAAATCTCATAATTATCGCAAATCGAGTAGTATGTGTTTTGCAGCAATATTTTTCTTTTTATTTTGAATTATTTTGAAAAGTCCGACACTTCTGATCTAACAACAAAACACTGTCCTTAGCTTTTCATCAGTCTTTAACCCTCCTTTTTTTTTTTAAAAGTGTAAACACATCGTATTTCATACGTGCACTGGTGGGTGGGTGGGGAGAGGGGGATCCTGCCCTCCCATTTTTAGTGACCAAAATATGCATGAAATTAATTAATTGGTTTTACTTTGTAGGACATTGCATAAGTCTCACATAAAGTATTACTGAAATAAGTTGAAACGTTTTATATATAAAAAAAAACTGAATTAAGCCTGAGAGCCTTCAGGCTTTCACCCCCTGGTCCCCAACTTAGACACCATACCGTCCCCCTATAGCTACTCTTTTCAATAACCCAAGATTGCCACTGATATGTGCCCATGTTTACTAAGGAATGGTCAATTGATTTAAGTGAGGGACTGGTAGATTTTTGTAACAATTCTAGTCCTGGAATGGTTGCAAAATGACTCATTCCAGTGACCAGTGACGTTGCATCGTTTTTGAAAGTTTGGGGAGGTTTGTTAGCCAGAAAAAAAATAAGATTAACGTACAAGAAAAAGGAAGAAAAAAATGTCCAAACTCGAAATCCTTTTCCCGGCGAAAGAAGAGGGGGGGTGTTACAACTTCGATCAGTCCTAAAAAAAATCCAAATATATACTACATTACCCATATACTTCAGCAAAAATTTGGGGCGAATTTTAATGAACATTTTTGTGATAAAGTTATGTCGGGAAAAAAGAGGAAGCCAGACCCCCCTCTCATACAATGTATCTGTTTTTCGTTCTTATTAGTCAGGACCCCCCCCCCTCCTTTCCCAGTCCTGAAAGCACGATTATCAACTATTACATAATGTAAATGTATTTTACAGCACGTTATGAACATTTGTAATCAACATGATAAAGAATTAACACAATGTAAAGATAGTTTTAAATCACATAAGTTGAATTGACATAACGTAATTATATATCCACATTATATATCACGGAATGGAGTTTTGACATAATGTAATAAATTGTTGGTATAATATGGAACGCTGGAACTGTCTCCATAATATATGTTCACATTTTGTTAATAACATTTTTACATCACGTAATAAAGCACTGACAAAAAGGTAAGATGTTTTCACCTCACATTGTGATGACCTCGGCGTAAAATAAAGATACATTAACATCACGTAATAATGCTTAGTTATAAAAGAAATATAAACTCACAAAAGGGAATGGACTTTGACTTAACGTAATGATGAATTAATCAATGGACACATGTAAAACGAAATTAACTTGACGTAATGCAATTTTGACCTCACAAATTAAAGAAATGAAATAATATAAAGAAAAATTCGTTTCACGTAATCAAGTTTTAACACAATGTAAACATATTTTCACTTAACATAATGAACTTTGGACTTCAAGTTATAAAGTGCTGACATAATGGAATAATGTGTTTACTTCATGTAATGCAGCATTGACATGATGTAAGGGTATTTTTACATCACCCCATAAAAAATTGACATAACGTAAAGATATGTTCACATCACGTAATGATAGATTGACATAATAAATGCATGGTTTAGTTGGGATATTACATTTTGTGACTGATCTTCCATGATTTTATCTTATTTTATTTTGTAATCGATTTTTTTCGTATTTTTCAAAAGAATAAAGAGACATTGTTTACCTGGCTAGTACATGTAACTCAAAAGCAAAAACTGGTATTGTAAGAATTCACAAGCTTTCGCACTGTAGATAAGTTGTTCCTTTAGATTTCTTTTAGTATCAGATTTAGTTCAAAGGGTCAAAGATTTCATATCAAATGAAGGGTCTTCTCACAATGATTACATATACGAAGTATGAAAGCTCTATCACTTACCGTTCAAAAGTAATGGCCAAGATTAAAGTTTTTTAACAAGTACAGAAATCTACAAGGTCAAGGTCAAAGGGTCAAGGTTGTTGGTAACCAGTGAAGGTCTTTTAACAAACATTACATATATGAAGTATAAATGTCCTGGTGTCTACTGTTCAAAATATATGGCCAAAGTAAAATTTAAATTTTTTTCTTAAAAAGTAGGTAAAACTCCAAGGTCAAGGTCAAAGGGTCAAAGTTATTGTTTTCAAATAAAAAGTCTCTCGGCTATGTTAAGGAAGGTCAGAGTTCACATTCCTTGTACATCGTATTGGAAGTTTAATTGTGACGTCATTGAAATTTAACAAGCCACAAAAATTAATTAACGACATGATCATGCGTAAATAACGACTTGAATTTATTAATTTCATCGATTATTCATAAAATCTTGTAAAATTGCAATACTTGATAGCGATACAGTCGAGTAATAGAAGAAAGCCTTTTGTCAAATATGACGTCATCAGCCTTGACATGACGCAGCACAAGTGATCCAGAGGACAAGATTCACTGGTTTAATTATTACAAGAATGCTTAAA